GAGAAGAGGAAGTTCCAGGGAAACCTCAGAGCCCCTTCCAGGGTCTGAAGGGGTTCCAGGAGAGCTGGAGAGGGATTTGGGATAAGGGATGGAGGGACAGGACACAGGGAATGGCTTCAAAGTGAAAGAGGGGGAATTTAGGTGGGATTTTGGGAAGAAATTCCTCTCTGGAAGGGTGGGGAGGGGCTGGGATGGAATTCCCAGAGAATCTGTGGCTGCCCCATCCCTGGGAGTGTCCAAGGCCAGGTTGGAGAAGAAAAGACTCCAAGATCTTAAACCCGTTCCAGGGCCTAAAGGGGCTCCAGGAGAGCTGGAGAGGGATTGGGATGAGGGATGGAGGGACAGGACACAGGGAATGGCTTCCCAGTGCCAGAGGGCAGGGATAGATGGGATATTGGGAAGGAATTCCTGGCTGGGAGGGTGGGGAGGCCCTGGCACAGGTTTCCCCAGAGAATCTGTGGCTGCCCCATCCCTGGAAGTGTCCAAGGCCAGGCTGGAGAAGAAAAGACTTCAAGGAGACCTTAAACCCCTTCCAGAGCCTAAAGGGGCTCCAGGAGAACTGGAGAGGGATCGGGATGAGGACAAGGAGTGGCAGGAGCTGCTCTGACCTTCCCCTTCCCTGTTTTTTGGCAGAGTTTGGACGAGGTCAGTAAGAGCGACATCGGCCGCCGGATCAAGGAGGGCGTGGAAGAAGCGGCAAAAACGGCCAAACAATCGGCTGAGTCCGTCACCAAGGGAGGGGAGAAGCTGGGCAGGACTGCAGCCTTCAAAGCCATCTCTCAGGTACACAATTCCCGGGAATCCAGGCCCTGGGAACAGCCTGGAAAATAACAGTCACCCAGTATCCTGGGCCACAGAATTCCCGTCCCTTAAACAAAACCTCAGATTTGGGGAAAGCTCTATAAAAAAAATCCCTTTGTGCCCCCAGGAGCTGCTCCAAGAGCTGCTCTGGGTGTGACTCAGAAGAGCCCAGGTCTAGGTGGGAAATTCCCACTTTTTTCCCCACATTCCCAGTGGGGAATGTGTGGTGGCAGGTCTGGCATTCCCTTGGCAGGTCTGGCATTCCCTCAGCAGCTCTGGCATTCCCTTGGCAGGTTTGGCATTCCCCTGGCAGGTCTGGCATTCCCTGCCAGGTCTGGCACTCCCTCAGCAGGTCTGACATTCCCCTGGCAGGTCTGGCATTCCCTGGCAGGTCTGGCACTCCCTCGGTAGGTCTGGCACTCCCTCAGCAGGTCTGACATTCCCCTGGCAGGTCTGGCATTCCCTGGCAGGTCTGGCACTGCCCTGGCAGGTCTGGCATTCCCTTGGCAGGTCTGGCATTCCCCTGGCAGGTCTGGCACTCCCTCGGTAGGTCTGGCACTGCCCTGGCAGGTCTGGCACTGCCTTGGCAGGTCTGGCACTCCCCTGGCAGGTCTGGCACTCCCTCAGCAGGTCTGGCATTCCCTTGGCAGGTCTGGCATTCCCCTGGCAGGTCTGGCACTCCCCTGGAAGGTCTGACATTCCCCTGGCAGGTCTGGCACTCCCTCAGCAGGTCTGGCATTCCCTTGGCAGGTCTGGCATTCCCCTGGCAGGTCTGGCACTCCCCTGGAAGGTCTGACATTCCCCTGGCAGGGCTGGCACTCCCTCAGA